GCGTAGCGTGGGTTGTCATCACCCGGGGCAAGGTAAATAATTTGCGCCCCCTAACCCATGGATTTTAGCACTCGGTTTTAGCACGCCTGGCACCCCCCCCAGTGGGCGGCAACCCTGCAGCTCGGATCGGATTCGTACAGCCAGCACTGCAGTGAGAGAGAGTGAGCCAGGTAGGGGCAGAGAGCTGCGAGTGCGAGTGCGCCCCCCCCAGATGTTGTGCCCGGTGCAGCCGGCCCCCCCTGACCCCCCACGCTACGCCACTGGTTGTGGGTGGGTTCGATTGAATAGCCACAACAGCCAATTGGTAGGTCCCTTGACGCTGGGTTCAATCAGGCCAATGGGAGGCAAGCTAAATGGATCAAGGGACCTATATATACCTATGCACGTGACCCAGAACTTCCTCTTTCGGTGTGTGCATCGGAACACCTGCCCACCTCTCCCTATATTTAGGGCTGTGCGCTTGACCTTGCTATGCCGTCATGTGTCGTCTGTCGTTGGGACAGGGGCACGGCAGGAATTTCCCCCACTTGGCTGATGCCATTTGGGTTTCGCCTGCCGCGTAGCAAATCGTCACAACTTGTAAGATTGCGGATAGGCACTGGTTCATGTGATAGGGATGGGAGAACGCTCTCGCCATCCCTATGTGAAGGGTATTCCGCTAAAGGAATCCAGGGACTCAATGGTTTGGTCAACCCCTGTGAGGGGGTTGTGCCTGTGCCTAGGTCCAGGGGGGCATTTGGGTGGCGGAGATAGCCTGTTTCCGGCTTTCCGCTTTTCCAGGTGTTCATGCTAGGCAGACCTGTGCTGGTGCCCTGGGTCAGTGCTACCTGCAACAGTGCAGGGAGCTAGTCGAACCAGAACCTATGCAACCACTCACTTGCTGTAATCAATAAAGTTGTGGCCTAAATTCTGCCAAAAACCAAACCAAAATTTGAGTCTTGTCTGAATTTATTTAAGGGGGAGGTTTAAAGGTCTGAACACGCAAACTACTTTCTCTCAGCACAGCCCTCCAACCTCCAACTGAGATCTAACTGAGACTGACCCTGCAGGGTTTGCTGCAATCTTTTGTGGCTGCTTGGGTGGATGACCTATGGCATACTTGTGCCTAAGCCCAGCACCATTAAAATCTTGGATTTCACAATTTTTATTGTCATCTCTCTATTCTGTCCTGTCTTATCAGTATGAATAGAGAGAGACTCCTCTCTCGCTCTCTCTGTGTGTGTCTTTCTCCTTTGCTCTTCTTTCTTTGTAGCTACTTGATTCTAAACTCCCTTCCCACCTGGTTGTCTGTCCCCCACCTTCAGTCAGTCTCCATTTTGGATTCCTCCTGCCTTGGGGTTCCCATACTGCTCAACCCTCCTGATTTAAGTAGAGTATCCCAGCTTCTGATTGGATCCTGGAATGTCCCATCAGCTGACTCACGCACAGGGGGTGCCGTAATAATGATGTAGAACAGTGTGTGAGAGATGGGGAGGGCAAAATTTTAGTGTAGCACAGGGCACCACTGAAATTTGAGAGCCCAAGGTCCACCACTGAAGGACAGGTGGTAATTTCAACAGAAGTGGACTGCAGTGAAGCTACAGATCCATGACATAAAAAAATAATAATCTTCCTCTGAAGGTGATAAAATACTTCATGGTGTGAACTGATATGCCCCCCCCCCGCTCATAGCATCCTAGTATTAATCAAGGATATTATTCAGCTGGAGTGATTATGTTGCAGTCCCATGAAGACAAATCAGATTTGGTTACATGACATCACTAAGCCAATTCAGAGTTAGGGCAGAAAGCTTTGCCCTCGCTCTGAACAATTTTGGTGAACACTTTTGCCTCTCTTTGCAGCCCCAGATGCTACCCCTTTGCCTCATGCTGTGCGTAGACATGGAATGCCTGAATAAGGCTGATTTATATGCAAGTTTATTTTGCAAGTAGAAAGTATGCTTAGGACTGCAGCCTTATTCTCCCGCTTAGGAATAATTTACTATTTTATACGTGAAAATTGTTTTTCCTTCAAGTAACCACAGGGGTCCAACAATGAGGTCTAGGGAGGAAGCAGCTCTTTGTTTGGAGGTGCTTGCTCACTCTAGATCCAAAGTTCTCTCCACAACAGGTTACATTTTTTTTATTCAGACTATGCACTGGGTCATCCCCACAGTTTTCATTTTATTAACTCCACAGTTATCTCTTTCTATGCAATCCTGATACACTGGTTTTTCTAAACTGTTGATGTTTAATGCACATGAAAATATGGCACATGTAGAGGTAAATAAATGAACTCTTCCGGATGGCAGATGGCCAGACTTTTAATGTGCCTTGCAACGCAGACAGTGGCTGAGGCCTAATTAAAGCTATTACAATAATTATTAAATTATTGTAAGGGCTCCAGCTAGTAGAGGTTGTGTACTTGGGAGGCCTTTTCTAATAACAACAGTTCAAAATTTTCACTACAGCTAGTTTTATTTTCCAATTCGGTCTTGCTGTCTCCCTCTCCCTCCCTCCCTCTCCCCCCTCTCTCTGAAGGCACGCTGACTTAATGACTATTCATCCTTTCACGTTAGGGGGAAAATACTAACTACAGAATAAGAGAGTGTGTGTACTGGCAAGATCATTAGTCTGAATAAATGTGACAGCCAAGTTGCACCAGAAATACCACAGTTAGCGGTAAGCAGAAACTACAGCTTTGGGTGAAAAATACTATAATTATGAGGGTTTGAGGGGCGGAGGGGCTCAAGGAAACCTCCACAGTTTTTATCCGCAAAGAAATCGATAGCAGTTCTGACTGCTTCTTTACACAGGAGTAGGGCTAGGTGAATGAAAGAGCTTATTGATTTGCCTGAGTGATGTTACTGTAGCAAATAATGGACTGGAAGAGAAAAGGCTTGTAGATACAAAGCAATGTTTTTTAGGACATCTGTATTTATTTATGCAGCTACATATCCCTGGCTGTGTATAAGAGGATTAACTTCTTCGTTATGTGTATTCTATCACAAGTACATTCCAGATGGCTAAGATCTTCCATTCACTATTACTACTACTAGGCCCAACATTACTTACCTAGCTTGTATCTGAGGAAGAATCTGAACCCAAAGCCAGTATTGTGAATTGGACCAAGTCATGAAAGTTTCCATCCTATGGCTAATAATATAGGTTTGTATCCAATAGCATAAAAAAATATACTAACTACATAATAATGACATTCCTATAGGGCTCTTATTCTTCAGTCACATAAAAATCTCCCCCCTCCAAAATATTTCTGCTTAAATGACTCTGCACGCACACAAAGATGACACACACCTGTCTAAATATAATCTGGCAGTAAAGCTCTGCTGGAAATGGAGATATATTTCTGTGCTAATTTGTCATAATGGTCCATTCACACCAGCAGAGTTATATGTACATTATCTCTTCTATCTCCAAGACATACTGTCAGGAAATTAAGTTAAGAATAGATATTCCCCTGCCCCCCACTCAGTATTACAAAAATATGCTTTTTTCTAAAGTCATAAGCTTCTTCCCTCCTTCCCATACACTGATGAACTGAAGACAACCTTGCAAGATGGCTGACAAGAACAGATATTGTCAGATAAAAATCACATGAAATTATTTTTTGTTACCTTTGAGGTAACTTGAACCAAAAAGGGAGGGGGGGAAAGCATCACCCTAAAGTCTTTGCAGTGCTTCAAAAGCCTTCACAATCTATTTGAACAGTGGTTATATTTGGGCAGAAAAAGTTAATGTGTGTTGCCCATAGGCAATGATCACTCTTATTATACCATTGCCATGGCCCAGTGAAAACTGCCCATTGTATACATCCTATCAGTACAAATCCTATGCATGTTTATTTGGAAGCTTGTTCAAAAGGTTTTGACTCCTAAATATGTGAGCCTATCAGTGCACATTTACTTTGGAAGGGTTGTAGCTCAGTCGTAAGGCATGCACATTGCATGTTGAAGGGTTCCAGATTCAATCCCTGGTATATCCAGTTTGAGCTGGCAATATTCCCTGCCTGAAATCCTGGAGAGCTGCTGGCTGTCAGTATGAAGAATCATGAGCTAGATCAGGGTTTCTCAAACTTGGGTCTCCAGCTGTTTTTTTTGGTACTACAATTCCCATCATCCCTGACCACTGGTTCTGCTAGGTAGGGATGATGGGAGTTGTAGTCCAGCAACAGCTGGAGACCCAAGTTTGGGAAACCCTGAGCTGGATGGAGCTGGTCTCACTTGGTGTACGGCGGCTTCTTGGATTCCTATTTGGAAGAAAACCCCACTTTGTTCAATGGGGCTTAATCCCTCATTAGTGTGCTGAGGATTGTAGCCTAAACGAATATGCATTAAACAGGTATTTAGGAACAGGAGCCAACAGAAATCTAGTACCACGACCACAGTTTTTCCTTTAAAAAAATCCTCATGCCAGAACTAGACCCACACCAATCCCATAGAGGTATACACTAAGCAGAAACTAGCACTTATCTAATAAAGTTAGGAACTTTAGTCCAGCCAGCGCCTAAAGGCACTTCCAGACTGAGATTTGTTCAGGTTCCAGTTGTACTCAAGACCTAGAAAACACACAAGAACTTTGCCAGGTCTCATACTGAAGCTTGCAAGTCCAAATCCCAGGAGTGAGAAATTAAGGTGAGGTGGAAAAATAAATAAAAATTATATGAAGGATTTGTTGTCAAAACCCTCATGCAATTGTGCACCCTTTTTTTTTTTAAAAAAAAAGGAAGCATGGCCTCCCATGCCTAGCAAGCTTCAATCGAAATTCTTCCCAAATGGAGCACAGAGCAAGAGTTTTTTCTGAAACTTCTGCCAAATGTTTTAAATGCAGGATTGTGGGTTTCCCACCCACCACTGTGTTGTCATAAAGTGGAGTTTCCTTTTTGGATCCACTCCAGCAATATAGTATGAGAATATTGAATCTTTGATTGTTTTTTTTCCAGCAGGTTTCTTTCTTCTACAAATCACATTGCCAGTGTAGCTGCATTCATGTACTTCTACTTACTCTGCATACACAGACCATCTGTGCAGTTCTTGGACTGTAAGACAAGGCCTTCACAGTCTTTCCCCCCATTCTTTGGTGCTGGGGCCATGCATTCCCTCCTGCGCCAGTGGGTACACTCTGTTCCGCAGGTAGACCATTTACTCCATGGTGTCCACCTTCCATCTACTGTTCCAGAAAAAAGTAAAAAAAAAAAAAATCAATTTTGAAGGGGAGGGAGGCAAGAGGCAGAGATGCAAATAAAGACTTGGTTATAAAGTCTTTTTTTTAAAAAAACAAAACCCAAATGCGAATCTGCTGTGCATGAAGAGTGGTACAACATTTGAGAAAGCCGATATTTTATTTATCCAAAATACACATCATGCAATATCAAGGATATTTATTTTAGTCTGAAAATACTCTGAAGCCTATATTAAAGGGCTTCGTTTCAGTCTGTTTCTGGACCATTTGCCTTATTTGTTTAAGGAACAGCCTAGATTGTGGGGGTGCCATGCTGTAATGAAGTCTTACAGTGATCTGACATTAAATTCATATTGCTCAAGGACAGCAAATTCCACCCAGAAAGTTGCTAGTGTATGTACATATGCAGCCCTTTCTATTTGGCTACTAACACCTGATTCAGTGGACACTTCCAGATTCCCACTATTTGTTGGGTGGGATTTAATGCATCCCAGAAAATTCAGGTTGTGCAAACTCGGGTTGTACAACAAACCCTCTTCCAAATAAAAATCTGTACTTTTTACAGCAAAGAAAAGTGAAGGAGAATGTGGTGGGATAAGAATTGCTTGACACTGTGACATATAGCACCACTGCAAACAAATAGGACGAAATCTAACAGCTAACATTGTATAACACCTCCACAAACTTTGTGCGAACATAAATCATGTTTAACATCCAATATGAAGTGTATATGGAAGCAATCAGTGACTCTGATGCGGTCACTGACTTCATGATAAGATTGAGCCCAACTATCCACAGTGATGACTTTCTGCTTTAACAATTCTTGTAGTATGAGAAGCAGCAGTCTAATGGCAAGTTGCCAGGCTACCACATTCATCATTAGATGAAGGTTTGTGTCACTCATTAGATTTAATAATACTGATTAGCTGAACCATAATTCTCACTTGCCACCCCATCCAAACACACAAGATTTGAGCACAGATGCAGAAGTGACACTAAATTTCTGGCCCTCCTTGACCCCAAAACACTGTTGCCCTTAGGCTGTTTCCTCTGCCAAACATGCTCTCTGTTTCTTTTGCATACTTGGACAACATCAGCAGTATCACAAGCAACTGAAGCACATAGCGAGATGGGAAGTTGGACACTTGCCCTCTCTTTGTCCATCATCTTAGAGCCCTACATAGCAGTGCACTAGGGAGAGAGACACAGTGGTCTTTGAGATTTGTAGTATTCCATGTGCTATTGCTTCAGTTACTACAACTTTCAAGGGCCAGAAAGTCATGGTGACAGATGGGAAGGTAGACAGACCTCCCCATATCCCATTTCCCCACATACTACTACGGTTCATGTTGTCACTGGCCAGGTACGTGTGTGTGTGTGTGTGTGTGTGTGTGTGTGTGTGTGTTTTCTGGGTCTGATGGAGATAGGTAGGATGGGTCATTTTCAGAGACTTGCGTTGGTTCAGAAAATTATCCAAGTTCTTTCTTTGTGTTTATTTTGTTTTGCAGAGGTGGGGGTGGAACCTCAGATTATTTCAAAATCAATCCCAAATGAGATGTGGAGGGTTTACCAGTCTCTATTTATTCATTATGTTCTTTACTAGTCAATTTATAGATTGCTTACTATAAAAAAAAAATCTTCAGGCAGTTTACAAAAACAAAATATCTAAAATATGCTTTAAAACAAAATATATCGACAAGTATTCAAAAATATCAAATCTCTAGTGAGCAGTCTTTGAGCAAGGTGACCAAAATGTAGCAAGAAGGGGGGAAAGTTCCCCTCTGAATTCCCTTGTTTGTCCTGGCAGGTAAAAAAGTCTTCACCCAAGAGCTTAAAATATTGTTTTCAGCTTTACTGCTCAGAATCATTTTATATACTTAAATTCCAGTTTACTTCCAGAGATTTCAACAGAGCTAAGACTTAAGTCTCTTAAGATTTTGAGCTTTGAAATGTTACGTAAATTGCAAATTACAAAGAACAGAGATGGCGGGTAAGCTTTGTGCAATAATTGGAATGAACCTACTGCTGTTTGCACACCATTCTGTGCATTTATATAACAGAATGAAACATTTACCCGCTGAAAGGGAGGGGAGGGGGGAACAAGAAAACAGTTATCTCCCAAAAGCTTGATGCTAGAAGAACAAGATTGAAACAAAATATACAGAAGTGGACCCATCAGAGTTATATTTGACATACCTGGACACAATGTGGTACAAGCTATTTTCTGCAAACTTTGGCCTTCACAGAAGGCACCTCCATTGAGTGGAGCAGGGTTGGTACAGGTTCTTGTGCGCTTCTGGGAGCCTTTTCCACAACGGCTGTTGCAGACAGACCACTCGGTCCAGGTTGACCATCCTCCATTGACTAAGAAGACAGAGAAATCGAGAAGGCTCAAAGGCAGGGTATATAAGTCAATGAACACTGAGATTTCACAGGGATCCTAATGCTTTTACTATTTCAGGTAGTGTGTTGGCCTCTTTATTAAGCCAGGTATGGTGAATGTTGGAGCTTTAGTTATCTATACACATGAACTGGTGCTTCTTAAAAGCCGAAGCTCTTCACTCTTATGTATTGCATGCAATTTCCCTTTTGGTTTCCAACAGCCTGCCAAACTCCTCAGTTAAGTGCACTACAATTAGGGTAGTGATTCAACTGATCTTTATTTCCATCCCAGCTGATATGTGGAACACTGGCACACAATTTATGAATTCTAATTAAATGAATCAGCAAATGCAAATGAGTAATGTATCCTTCCCCTAGTAGATGTACCAACCCTAATTACAAAATTCCTTTTCTAAGGGAGCATTAATTCACAACTCTGTTATCAGTTAACTTTTCTCCCCTTCCCCATTTTAAACAGCGTTATATGGCATGCCACTAAAATGCACCCTTCCCAGAGATAGATGGACTTCCAGACTGCTCTGATGAAGCTCACAATTGCTAGGAGTAAGGGACTGTGCTATATTGTTTTAACTACTTTATCTGTTTTATTTTTATTATCTTGCCTGGTGCCAGGCAAAAATATCCATCTTCTTGCAGGCCTTTGGCTAATTAAACAATCTGTGGCCTATAAAACTGTATATGTTGGGGTTGTGTGTGTATTGTTTTAGTTTGTTATTATGGAATATATGTTTATGTTTTCATATTGTAAACTGCCCTATGAACTATGTTTTCATATTGTAAACTGCCCTATGGATGAAGAATAATATAGAAATTTAATAATTAGTATAATAATATTAATGCTTACCATGTGACAACAGCCTGCTGAGAATTTTGAAGGTTGTCCTGCCTTGAGGCAGAGAAAGTTGAAAATGAATGCAACCACATAGACAGAAAAGGTGCTCTTAGTCACCTCTCTTTCTCTTTATAAGTTCTTTATCTCCCTTTATCTCTTCCCTAGGAAGCCTTCAGATTTCTCAACAGCAGAACGCCAGGCTGCTCTCACATGTTGAATGTAATATGGGGTCTAGGCTCTAATTCTTGCAGGCCAAAGGCAGTATTGACTGCATATTCCCACTGGTTCTGTTTTTATGCCTTGGTAATGAAATGTGAAAAAAAAGCAAGGCATGGGACGTCAGCATTCCACAGTAACAAGAAGAACTAATTTCTTCAGCTCACTGTGTTTTGATTAAAAATGAGAATGTAAGAAGACTCCTTCTGGATCAGACCAAAGACCTACCTAGCCTAGCCTTTGATTTGCACAGTTGCCAACCAGCTTCCCATGGGAAGCCTGCAAGCAGAGTATGAGCACCATCACACTCTCCCCACTCATGTTCTCCAGCAACTGGTTTTCAGATGCATACAGCCTCTGATACTGGGAATAACTGATATCCAGTGTGACTAGCAAACAAAAACACCATTCTCTACATGCTCTATTGGAAAACCAAAATAGCTCAGTGCACCTTTGCTCTTCTCATTCCTGCATCCTCATTCCTATCCTCATTTGCAGCATGTCATAGGTCAAGGGTAGAGAGCATAAGGCCCTCTATATGTTGCTGAACTTAGCCTCCAACAACCTTGACTACTGGCTTCTGTATAGGATTGAATGGCTGTTTTCCTTAATTCACTGACAGTCTTTGTCACAGAGGTGTGAGCTCATGCAAAAAGTATCTTAGGTAGGCTTATCAGGTTTTCAACTCCAATCCCCTATTCCTCACAGCATTCCAGCAACAGGTGACGAAGTTCCACCTACCTAGTCAAACTCTTTGTGTTTGGAAAGAATAATTATATATAGTGTGTGCTGAGCCTTGCTTCTGTTCCTGCATGCTATTGTGCTCTCCAGCTGAACTATGCTGTGTGCCTCTGTTGGGCCTCCTTTGTATCACAAATACTGCTAATTAGCTGTATTCAACCATTTTCCTCACAGAAAGAGGAATGAAAAGCCCTCACTGTGACTTCGCTGAGACAACTGCTTACAATTAAGCGAAACTGCTGCCCTACCTGCAAAATAAAAGTTCTAGCATAATCTGTCTTGTAATTAAACTGATTGTGATAAAAGCAACAAGGATCATCTATGGTACCATTAGAGCTAGGTTTTATCCTCACAATACTTTTCTCACTTTAGTAGACAACAAAGGACAATTTATACGTACATTGTTCCAGCCACATGGAGCCAACTGGGAAACTTCTATGTGGTATGGCAGTTCTGCACTGGGGGCATTATATGTAGGGATGCTTAATAAGTGGATTGCATAGGTGGATTTGCCTGGATTATGTGATGAGGCAGAAGACTTCATGATTTAGAGGATCAGTGTAGCTTTATGACAACACTGCCATAGCTAGTGCAGTGAAATTTGAGATGCTGAAACATTTGCCAATTGTCCATAGGCTTTGTGTTTGGGGAGGAGGGGAAGAGGGCAAGAACCTTTGTGATTTATTCCATTCCACACAGTGCTAGTCCAAAAAATAGTTGGTGACAAGGTCTATAGACCAGTTTGGGTCATTTGATCTCTCCATCAAGTACAATCTTTGGTTGGGCAAGTGGCTATTGGAGAAGAGATATCCATTGTGTTCTGCTAGTGTTTTAATGACGTTTGATTGCTTTTTAGGATAACTACTCTAATTCAAACTGTTTTAATGGCTCACTAGTGTCACTGTTTTTATGGTTATCTTTGTTTAATCTGCAGATTTTGTTATTTGCTGCTGTTGTTTTAATGCTATTGATTAGTTTAGCCACCGTTAGTCATTTGCAAAAAGGCAAAATATAAATCCCTAAATACACATACACACATGTCCCCCTTGTCCAAGAAGGTCTTTCCAAGGGATATACATTTTAGCTGACAGCCATGTGATCATATGCATATTCTGCTTGCCAGGTCCTGGAGAGAAATAGCCAGCTGGATGGTACAACTCACTGTATTAATTTGGTAGATCAAGCTGTAGTTTCATTGTGAGGCAAAGCCATTTCCCCTTACCATAGACAATGACAGCAGCAGTCGTGCTCTTCCTCTTGGCCACAATGTTTTTGGCAACACAAGTATAATTGGCTGTGTCAGAGAGGCGTGCCTGCTTTATGATCAGGTTGTGGTCAATAGTGATGTAAAAATTCCGGTCTTCAACGGGATCAATCACCTCTTCATTTTTCAGCCACTCTACCTGTTGAGATTCACAGGGAAGGTCAGCAGCCCCTACCAGAAATAGCATGCAGTGGAGTTTTTTTTTTAAATTAATATCTGTATCAGAAGACTAGACATGCAGGAAGCTGCTCTATACGGAATCAAAAAAACTGGTCCATCTAACTCAGTATTGTCTACATACAGGGCCACCAAGAGACAGAAACAGATGGCACTCTGAGCTTTTGCATATATAAATGTAAGTCAATAGGCCTCTTGAAAAGGAAAATATGAAGCAAAATGTGTAGGGGAACAACTGCATTCCTACCCTGCCCTTCGGCAATACTCTTAGAGTGTCTAGCAATAAAAATGTACAATACAGATAGAATCAAAGAACGTTACAATAAATGATGCATCTTGGCTGAGTGTGCTCACAATGCTATAGGCTTGCAAATCTGCCTCCCTCACATATTACATTTGTAGACATAAACCCAAAGCATTTTACAAGTAAAACACCTTGTGTTCAGATGTAAAAACAAGGATAATGTGTGCATAGATTCTACTATATATGCTACAAGCATACTAGCCACAGTTGCAACTTTACACTCCTAATCGTTATACGAACATTTAAAAAAAATGTTTGTAGTCAAACAGAAGGAAATAGTTAAAGATATAGACATGCGTTCTCTAGCTATACAATATTCCATTCATTTCCACTCCAGAGAAGCACCCCATTCTCCCAGAGCTGCCTGAGGTAAGCTAGTCTAGCATAACTTGGCTGAACATTCAGTGGCTTATTTGCTTTTGAACTGAGCATGCTTTAGAGACCCAGGATGGATCAAAGCAGTGCCTTCATGTCACTGGATCATTGGAATTTGTGCCCAGCAATTTAATGAAACGAAGAAAAACAGAAATATTCTCAGCCCCTGGCCAACCCAATGGAACACAGAAGGGTCTCACTACTAATAAAGACCCGGTTTGTCCTGACAAACATCCCCTTTACCCTAAACCATTTGAACATCTGCCCAAGGAGACTGGAAGCCAACGAAGCCTGCTCCATCTTATTTCAGTCACAGAAAACACTATGAGCATATAGGCAGTAAGCCTCTCCCGTTTTCAGTAACACAAAGCTTGATTCATTCCTTGCTAGAACCAGTTAAGTCCCACCAAAGGAATGATGACTCCAAGGCAGGAATATGCATATTTGAACCGAGTGTTCTATGTTATCCCCTAAATGATCGTTTGGTGCAAATGTGCAAAGCCCTGTCCATAGGTAGTGTCAGGGAACTGCCATCAGTACTGGAGGGAGAGCGCGAAAGCCAGAGGGATTCCAGAGGGCGTCCAGGGATCGGGAGAAGCAGCCCATCTTCTGGGGAAGAGAGTCAGCGTAACACCAGTGGAGAAGGGGGGCAGGTGGGGGAAGTGGCGAGGCGGTCCTATGACTCCTTGCCTGGGACCAGCGGGGAGACTAGGGGTCCTCTGTTGCCCACGCCCTCCCTGCGCAGAAGGCTTCCACGCAGAGAGGGTAGGCGGAGACTAGGCGTCAAAGAACTTCTTTGCTGGAAGAAGTTTAAGAAATGCCCACTCACGGATTCTGCCAGCGATTGAGTCAGCCACGGGTGAGTGGCTGTCCGGACAGAGGAGGTTCACTTTGGCAACCCAGCCAGGTGTTTGCACCCAGCCAGGAAGATAGGCACCTGCTTACGCACAAGCAACCCCCTTAGGAACCATTACAGGTAGGCATGCACACCACCTGCAGTCCTCACCACTGTGGTGCCTAAAGGCAGCTGAGTAGCTTAAGAGGTGTAGAAGAGGCTAGTTAGAGACTCAGCAGATGGTGGCAGAACTGCTTCCTCTCTCTGGCATCTGCACCCGAGGCAGCTACCTCCCTCTGCCTAGTGATAGGGTGGGGTGTCCAACTGAATTTAATGAAATAGACTTCTATATAACAAACCTATCTATGATTCTTATTTGTTAAAGAAGGATGATACTTAGTTGTTGTTGCTCTTGTTGTAAGAAAGTAGTAAGAAAGTACAAGGAAACCAAAATACTTTGCGCACTTTGCTGCAAAAATCATACCGATATAACGACAGTGCTTTTCAAATATGGAAACTAAATACAGAGAAGCAAACACTAATGATGTAACCCAATACATATCTACTCCGAAATAAGTCCTACAGAGTTTGATGGGGCTTACTCCCAAGTAAATGAGTATGAATACAGTATGAATGAATGAATGAATGAATGAATGAATGAATGAATGAATTAGAAGAGTGACTAGTGGGGTGCCACAGGGTTCTGTCTTGGGCCCGGTCTTATTCAACATCTTTATCAACGACTTGGATGATGGACTCAAGGGCATCCTGATCAAATTTGCCGATGACACCAAACTGGGAGGGGTGGCTAACACCCCAGAGGACAGGATCACACTTCAAAACGACCTTGACAGATTAGAGAACTGGGCCAAAACAAACAAGATGAACTTTAACAGGGAGAAATGTAAAGTATTGCACTTGGGCAAAAAAAATGAGAGGCACAAATACAAGATGGGTGACACCTGGCTGGAGAGCAGTACATGTGAAAAGGATCTAGGAGTCTTGGTTGACCACAAACTTGACATGAGCCAACAGTGTGACGCGGCAGCTAAAAAAGCCAATGCAATTCTGGGCTGCATCAATAGGAGTATAGCATCTAGATCAAGGGAAGTAATAGTGCCACTGTATTCTGCTCTGGTCAGACCTCAGCTGGAGTACTGTGTCCAGTTCTGGGCACCACAGTTCAAGAAGGACACTGACAAACTGGAACGTGTCCAGAGGAGGGCAACCAAAATGGTCAAAGGCCTGGAAACGATGCCTTATGAGGAACGGCTAAGGGAGCTGGGCATGTTTAGCCTGGAGAAGAGGAGGATAAGGGGCGATATGATAGCCATGTTCAAATATATAAAAGGAGGGAGAAAGGTTGTTTTCTGCTGCTCCAGAGAAGCGGACACGGAGCAATGGATCCAAACTACAAGAAAGAAGATTCCACCTAAACATTAGGAAGAACTTCCTGACAGTAAGAGCTGTTCGACAGTGGAATTTGCTGCCAAGGTGTGTGGCGGAGTCTCCTTCTTTGGAGGTCTTTAAGCAGAGGCTTGACAACCATATGTCAGGAGTGCTCTGATGGTGTTTCCTGCTTGGCAGGGGGTTGGACTCGATGGCCCTTGTGGTCTCTTCCAACTCTATGATTCTATGATTCTATGAATACAAAATGAACTTTATTAAAAAGTACAGTAAAACTAAATACTGCACATTGTAGATGTAATAATACAGGCAAACTGGCTCAAGGTATGTTGAGAACCCAGATAACGTAAGCACAGCTGCACAAAGCCACAAGAAAGACAAGATGGAGTTGAGATATGGGGCAGAGTCACGTAAAAGAAGATGATTGGAAAAACCTCTCTAATGATGTTTGCCATTTTCTCCTGTACCTTAGGCTAACTTCCCTCCTATGGTTCCATCTCTTTCATAATGTTTCTCAAAATCAAGCCTTGCTATGCCTTCTTCATCAGAGCTCTGTTATAATTTCTTCTAAAATGCTGGATACACACTCAGAGGATGAAAATTCAAACCATTTGCCAATGTTTTATGTGTATAATTTATCATAAAAGACAGGATATTGCATTTTAAGCTCCTTGGGGCTTTGACCAAAACCACCAGATCTACTTGTAGGGCCTTTAAAAAATGAGAGAGTTATAATGCCACTGGTAATAGTACTATATAAGGCAAACAACAATTGCTCCAGATAGAAAATGCACATTGCAATTACCTCAGGAAAATGAAGGACAATTTGCAATAAAAAGTCCTGCTTCATCTATATTTTCACATATTTCAGTAATTTAGGAGCTCCATATTACTATAGTTCTATGCTTTATGCTTCTTTACATTAGACACCCCTGTGATGTCGTCAGATTTATATCCTCTAATTTTGGTGTGAATTGAAGCTTCTGTCCTAACAGAACAGTTGTGCCATGGATAAAGGGTTGAGTCCCTACTTACTCAATACCATGGAGCCAATCTGGATCAGGGCCCTCCACAGCTGCTATTTTTAAAAAGAAGGTTATTGCAACTGATATATATGCAAATAACACATCTGCTTGTGAATCCAGGTCTTCTCACTCTGATAGCAGCTAGTGGATTTCTTTATCCCTACTGTCCTCGTTTGCACGTAACACTGAGCTAAACTATGGCTTAGTATGAATGAGCAAATGTGTGGGCTCCCAAAGAAAATATGGCAGCTGTTTTGGTCCTTTCCTGGCCATTCTGCTGCTGTGCTAAGCCATGGTTTGACCTACAATGTTTCCTGAATTCATGTTTATGGTTTAACTCTGCCAGACAAATTTTGAGCTGTAAACCATAGGACACACAGCTTACAGTTAGTCTGGAAGAGAGTGTATGGAACATGAGCCAGGGTTTGGATGCAACACTAACACAAGCCATAGCTTAACTTAGTGCAATGCAACCACATAACAACCACAGGAGCAAAGCAGCCACAAACTCCCCACTAGGAGCTCACACATTTTCTTGTTTGCAGTTAGCCAATCATGGCTCACACAAAAGGAAACTGAAGAGAGTTTGGATTTGATATCCCGCTCTATCGCTACCCAAAGGAGTCTCAAACTGGCTAACAATCTCCTTTCCCTTCCTCCCCCACAACAAACACTCTGTGAGGTGAGTGAGGCTGAGAGGCCTCAGAGAAGTGTGACTAGCCCAAGGTCACCCAGCAGCTGTGTGTGGAGGAGCGGGGACGCGAACCCGGTTCACCAGATTACGAGTCCACTGCTCTTAACCACTATACCACACTGGCTACATCACACTGAAGGAGCTTTGAATGTGAGCAAAATATTAACGTATCTCTCAACCATGCCAAAATTTCATGCTAAAAGATGCATATATATTCTCTCACCCTCCTCACCTACATCTGCAATATGGGAACAATTAGCCCACAAAGGCTAGAGCACCTTTCATGCACAGTGATAACATAATAGATAAGTCACTGAAGCTC